GTGCATCTTCATCGGTTAAAGATACCACCCATGGATGGAGGAAAAGTACTTCCAGAGAAGATGCCACATCTACATATGAGACAGATAAGGCATGTGAAAATGATACCACACTTCGGTACTTAGAAGTTTCGTGATTACTCAATGGCTTGGATCTTGCAAGTCCCCAACCGAGGAGATTCCCTCACTCGGGAACTTAGGGGAGCACTGTTTGTACCATACTTGACCAATCCTGAAACTACTGAGCACCGGTCAACGTTATACCGTCAAGGACCCAGAAGAGCTTCCCTTCAACCAGGAGGCCAATCACAATGCGACACGTGTCGACATCAGAAGCCAATCACAGCGCGACACGTGTCAACATCAGAAGCCAATCACAACACGACACGTGTCAATGTTAGAACAAAACTAGAAACCCTCTTCTATAAATAGGGATCATTCTCCCACAATAATCTCTAATGTCATTTTGTACTAAACTATTCACTAGAACTCACAAAATGAGAGCTTGAACCTATGTATTTGTGTAAACCCTTCACAATTAATGAGAACTCCTCTACTCCGTGGACGTAGCCGATCTGGGTGAACCACGTACATCTTGTGTTTGCTTCCCTGTCCCTATTCATTTACGTACTTATCTTCACTAGTGATCGAAGCAACCAAGCGAAGGTCACAAACCTGACACTTTCTGTTGTACCAAAGTCCTCGCTGATTTTGTGCATCAACATGTTGTATACTACAAGTGGTATCCAAGTTATTTCTAGTAATATGGCTATTAAAAGACTCTCTCAGTGCTTGAATCCGATTTGAATATGTCTTCACAGTTCAAGCCAGATCTAAGTTCTAAGCCTTCAGGCATATAAGATTTGATCACTCTAAAAGTCCTTGGCCTCAAGGCATAAAAAAGAACCTGATGTGGACTTAACCCATCCACGACAAGCTTTGATAACAAGAAGTCCGAAGTTACTTGAGGCGTAAGTAATCGACCTGTCACTTAGTTTTATTTCTATTATATTATGATTACCATAAAACATTCGAGTACGTAATGAATTCTGATGGGAAGCCTCAAGGCCTATTCAAGGCCCTACAAAGGCACCTATTTGGATTCATCCTGTTCCTCGGGCTAGAACATTGAGTATAGAAGGAGTTCTGATGGGAAGCCTCAAGGCCTATCTAAGGCCCTACAAAGGCACCTATTTGGATTCATTCTGCTATTCGGGCTCAGGTAATCAGAAGTATAATGGTTGTAAGACTCATATAACCAAGAAAATGAACCTTATGTATTCGAGTACTAAGTTAGTTATTAACGTGAAGCCTCAAGGCCTACACCTAAGGCCCCACAAAAGTACCTGTTAATAACTAACATAGTCTCTCAAATATATATAATTAAAACTCAAACATCCGTTTTACATCTGCCATGTTGAAGATGGCAGTGGCACGCCTGAGCACTTAAAAGTTAATCTTGATTGTGAGCCTTAAGGCCTACACCTAAGGCCCCACAAAGGCACCTTTCAAAGTTAACTGTGTCCTTCTAATTCAGCCTTGCCCGACAGGCTTTACCCGACAAGCCCGCCAGTAAAGCAGAAGCCCGACAGAAAGCATCAACCGGTGCGGACCTCTCGGGGAGCTGTGTGCTCGTCGGCTAGGAAGCATCCCCGACGGAAATTCCTGCCACGAACAATAATATTCTTGTTAGTCTTATTCGTCGCGTACTCTGATATTCAACTAAATGAAGGATCGAAGAGGTTAAAAATGTACCAATATTGGTCCCCAATCAATATTGTCTTGTGCCATATATAAAAAATCTACTGATTCCTCTTCCTCCCTCCAAGCCTCCAAGGTCTCGAGGCTTGAGGCTTTGAAGTTGCCCAATCTGTCAATCACTACTAATTTGTGATCGTATAATAAACCATATCTGATCACATGAAAGTACAAGTAGTTAAATTTTCTCATATGAACAAGCAACTAGTTAATTAATCTTCGTTTTTATCAGGAAATTAATCTTAGCTAGTAACACCAATAATTGGTACTAGCTAGGTGATCGAAGTGAAGTGGACCAAATCATATGACCAAAGAAAATAGAAAAGTGAACCAAATTATTTTTGGCAAAAGTTTGACATGCATTGTGTGATCAATATTTTAGTCAATGTAAAAATAATAGTAATACAATAATTCATATCATTCATAAAAAAATGGAGAAAATTTATCATTCTTACTCAAATAATATTATGCAATGACGCATATGTGTGTATTAGTTATGTCAATTATCTACTCATTGGACTGCACGTTCATGTGAATTTTGAGTTGTGTTGTGTTGACGTATCATATCTAGAAGTCCGTAATCTATGTGTTTTTAATTTTTTGAAGCTTATTGTCTTCGGATAATCGGATACGTACTGGTATTAGGTTATATGAATGCACAGCACATCGGCTTGCAATGACATAATGTGTGTATATCGATCGACCTAATAATTGGCGGATGAGCAGTAGATTCTGAAACATATAGAATAGTAATCACTTAATTTTCTCTTTGTGTGTTGAGGTTTTCTAAAGTAATAAAAAAAATAAAAATAAAATATAGAATATTAAGCACTCAATTTTCTCTTTATGCTGCATCACCTCTATGTTCATCTTTTGGGAAACATTTTGACATGTGACCGTTTACTAATTAAACTCTTGTAAAACCAATTGTTTGTTGTTAGAAATTAACCTGGGAAAGGGATTCTCTCTGGATTCCTTCATCCTAATCCATAGAGTTCGAAGATCTGGACCATTGAAATTTAATCTAACAGTTAAAGTTATTATAACTTTTTAAGTGGACCCCTGTTTGTAGCTGTTGGATCAAATTTCAATAGCCCGGATCCCCTGACTTGATGGATTAGGTGTCAAGGATCTGGAAAGGATCCCTTTCCATTAACCTGAGCCACTATTTATATGTGACCTAATATATATTTGTTACGTCTATTATTTTTACAGTAAATTTGCACTTACGATTTTGTATTTGTGGTAACCATATAAGAGTTTAATCATTTTGATTGTTTATACAAATTATCTCTAGATCAATGTAATGGTCAATAGAGAAATATACCCAAGTAAAAGCCATTGTAACCATTCTTAATTAGTAATGAAATCGCTATCGTTTATGTAACAAAAAGAAAGAAAAAAACTTGAGTCACTTGATCATAATGACCATCCCCATTAAATTGTGACAAGGACTCGCCGGTCCCTTTGTTCTTTAGAAAGAAAAAAAAAGAAGCATAAGTTGAAAAATAAAGAGTGAACTACTAGAATATGGAGCGAAAGGCCAGATATAAATTTGCCACAAATCAATATTGGTAGTGCTATTTACACATCTATTTTTACTTCTCACACATCATTGTTAATTTTCGGCGTAGTGCTATCCACACTCATTTTTACGTCTCACATATCTCTCTCAATTTTCAGCCGTATGACCGAATGAATTGAAGATGTATGGCAAAAAATTAATAAAGGTATGTAGAAGGTAAAGATAATTGTGTGAATAACAATGTCTTGAGATATTTATGCCTTTTGTGATTTTGGTTTTCAATGATAAATTAGACAGAAATAAAAGATGTTCTTTGATAACTTGTAGGAAGTTTTCTAACTCTATGGTCTTCTTAAACTCCAGAATTCTTCCTGCTTTGTAGTACTTTAAGTGTTCCCATCTAAAATAGTTAGACAATCATGCAAATCCAAAAAACATTTGCATTGCACCACTTCAAATTGGAGAAATATTTTTGTGGGTCAGAACAGGCCCAATATACCAAATATCAAATCGCTTGTATTATGATATTTGATGTGCGGACTCTATTTTTGTCACCCTGAAAAATCTCTCTTAAGTTGAGGTAATATTCTTATAAAACATGTCTATTCAGTTGCCCCTTTTACAAGCTCCAGACCGAACCTCCTCCCTCCTGCCTTCTATTTAAATTGTCTTCGTTTTGAAAAACTTCCAACAAAACGTATAGTAGACGCGCGTGGTGTTTGAGAATAATTTGAAGACCAACGAGGGATCATATCCATATATATGCATGTGTGATCGAAACTAGCTAGGATATTATCTCACTTGTACATTATTTACGTGAAGTGTGGAAGCAGAAAGACCAATATTATTGTTTTAATATTGAAAAAGAATATTGTGTATATATAGATGTTGAGTCGAGTCAGAGAATGATAGGGACATTTGGTAAGCCAGTCAAAGCAAGCGTTGCCTTCCATGGTGGTAATCAAAAGCAGCTGGCTCTAAATATTGTACAAGACCTGTAGCCTATGGCCCTCTATAGCCTATAACCTCTCGTCTCTCTGTGTTACACTGTTACATTTATAATATAATTGTCCTCTCCTCCATCGATCTCTTTCTCTTTCCTTCTCACTCTTTCCAGGGCACCTATACATGTAGGCGGTCAGTTTCTAGCCCTCTAAAAATTCCATAGAGCTGTGAATAAGTTTTCCAAAGAATATCATAATCAAGAGAGTAACTTATATATAACGTAATTAACAACTTACACGTTACAATATCGAATATTAATTGATTAATTACTACACATCTCTTCCTTTCTTTCTTTATTCTTTCTCATAAAAACAATATAATGAATTATATTCACACACAAACACAGAAGATTGGCACGGCAAAAATGTTGTTCCTTTGTGATCGAAAAATCATGGATTTGAATTATGAAAACACCCTCCTTGCAAAACAAGAGTTAAGCTGCATATGATAGACTTTCTTCCGACTCTTACAAAGCGAAGAACTTTGTTAGCTTGCGGTTGCACTTTACATAAACACAGGGTTGTGAAAAAGGATGGCTAGGTTCGGTCGCTTTCTTGCACTCACCCCTGCACTCACCCACGTGATGTGTCACCATTCACTTACATGTTCAAATTAAGACCAAGAGATATCATCAGTTGCACAACTAGCTAGAGGTCTATATAGCTTTACATAGCTATCTCCCTTATGTACACTCTTCTCTCCGTTCCTCGTGCTCTTTCTATATTTCGTATCCACTCACTTTCTTTCTTTCTTTCTTTTGCAACCCGGTACTACTACTGTGGAGTACGGTCACATTTTCTTGCTTGAATATGTAATAATGGTGAAGCAAAAACCAGTTTCCAGGTTTTGGTTTAGCTCTACACTAGCAACAAAGCACCGCCATCGCCCTCATCAGACTCTGCACTTTGTGTTTTTCTTTATCGCTCTTCACTAGTTGCGTCCTTTTCCTTTAAGGCTCTCTTATACATGTAGAAGAACAGTAACCCTCCAGGGCATCCACATAGTAGTCGATTTATTTCTTGCCCCTTCTCTTTACTACTACTGTTTGTGTTGTTTTTCCGGCGGTCAAAACAGTACCGAATTAAAAGAGACGTCATGCATCATCACAATCTTTAGGGTTTTGTGAATTGTCATATACTATCCATGTTTCCTTCTAGCAGCACCACTAGTAATACCCAGCTACCTTTTCTATGTGATGACAACCACACAAATGGTATTATTGATGATTTTCATCAAAACCCTAATTCAATATCATCACATGGTGGCTATCATCAATACTATTCACAGTACTACTACTCCGATGACCAGCAGCAGCAGCAGGCACCTGATTTTCTTGAACACGATGGAATGCTATTGAGCTACTTGCTATCTCAGCAGCAGCTCTTGATCGACAGCTCCAGTACTACTAATGTAGCAACGCATTCCAACCATACTCGAGCTCACAGTAGCGCTGAAATATGCATTGTGGATTCAAATTCAAACAAAACAATGGAGTTGATCAACCGTGCCGACGAGATCACCGTTATCCCGGCTGCAGATTCACAGATTAAGAAAAATAATGTGAAGATGAATGGAGAAGGAGGTGGAGAGAAAAAGGCAAAATTTGCTCGAAAGAGAGCGAGTGGGAAAAAAGACAGACACAGCAAGATCTACACAGCTCAAGGTCCAAGAGACCGGAGAATGAGGCTGTCCCTCCAAATTGCCCGGAAGTTCTTTGATCTTCAAGACATGTTGGGGTTTGACAAAGCCAGCAAAACAATTGAGTGGCTTTTCACAAAGTCAAAGACCGCCATCAAGGACCTCAAGCAGCACCTCCTCGTCTCACCCAAGGAGGATTACAGCAGCACAAATGGCGGTGCAACTGCAAAGGTGAATTCATTTGAGAGTACCACCGGTGATGTCGCATCGAAAATTATGGAGCCAAATAGTAGTGCTGCAAAAGGTGACATTTCCATTGGGTTGGCTAGGGAGAAAAAGTACAGGAAGTTATCAGTGGTTGCAAGGGAATCGAGGGTGGAGGCAAGAGCAAGGGCAAGAGAGAGAACAAGGGAGAAGATGATGAGGATCAGAGGGTTTGATCAAGATCATCAGAGTACAAAGCAAAGCCATAAGCATCAAGAACAACAAAACCCTAATGAATTGTTTGAAACAGCTGGAATGATGAATTCCATGATGATGAGCATGAATCGTCCCAACGATGGTCAGAAAATTGTGGGCAGAACAAGTAGTAATTGTGGTGGTGCAGAAAGATTGTTTTTGAATTTTGATTTTTCGCGACATGCGGAGGCAAGTGGAGCAAATTCTGAGGACTGTGATTTTCCAGGGAATTGGGGAGCAATCAACAACACCAAGAATATTATTACAGGTAACGTGCTGCAAGTAGAGCAAAACCCTACCTCATACCCAAAACAACAGAACCCTAGCTCAATTTTCGGGACCGGTACTCAAGAGCAAAACCCTAATTCAATTTTCCTCACCACCTTAGCCAAAGCTCAAGACCAAAACTCCACTACCTCTTCAAATTTTGCGATCAATACAAATATTAGTACTTTGCAGCCCCTGTTTACTGGAAATTAACGAATCTTCTTCCACCTTCTCCTCCTCCTCCTCCTGCTGCTATATATAGCTAATTATCAAGCTCAGTATCCGAATATATTCACTGGTAATTTGTATTGTAGTGGATTACTATCTTTGACAGTGCGAGAAAAATGTTTTCAGGCATCTCTCTAAACTTTATTTGATTGCATTGTTAGAAAATGTAATTTGAAGATGTCGTAATTTCTTGAATTTATAAAAAAAAATTGTGCAATACAGTGTCAGGTACTATAATAATTTGTTTGGAGATTTTATATTATGCTAGCATCGTTGTGATTTTATATTTTCTGATCGTCGTCACTTTCCGTAATATAAATTCTCATGAAATATTATGCTAGCATATATCCAGTCACTGGAAAATAGTGTTGCAGTAATTCAGTTTTTCCCTAAAATTGCAAAGGAAGACAATCACATAGACATATAAAATAAAACTGGAAAACAAGAGTAAACTTTACTATATGCATGCCACATTTCAAATATTCTTTTGCATTGGATATGTATTTCTCTATGTAGCAAAACCTGCAGCAAATAACAATCATTAGGATGATAATAGGGCATCATATTCCTTTCCCAGCTCATTGATCTCCTATTAAATATATAACCTAACCCACCCATAGATACAGCATCTAAAAACCATAATCTTCTCAGAGAGAATTTATAAACATAGTAGATGGTGCTCTCCGCTTGGACGGAGCCATGCCATGATGACGGTTTTTCTCACATACACGGTATATGAGCCTACTGTCTGTAATTCCAGGTAATAATGAAAACATCTTGATTAGTTATTTTTTTCTATTTTTCCTAGTAGCTAAGTTCCATTCATATAGTTTATCTCTCTATTTTATCAAGTTTAAGGTCCATAGAAACTTTTATTGTGTTTCTGAGAATGCTTTTAGGCCAACTAATATAACATGTCAACCTGACTTTGGTTGCATATGTTTAATTTTACAGTGCTGCAAATTCCAAGGAATTCAGTATATATATTGTCTGTTTATGCTAACTTCCTTGTTTTGTTTGCTGGGTATAGCCTAGGTTGAAAAGCATATTACATAAGTGTTTGTGTATGTTCTATGAATTACTATAAATTATGTGCCTAGCTACCCATATATTTCTTTTGTCTGTGTTTCAAGCTTTCAAAACGTATAAATTTATTCCATTCATTTTCATGACCTAGCTATATATTCTAGGAATACTTAAACTGTTATACAAATTGTGGTATGCTATATCTCCCACAAATTAGTTTTTTAGTAGGTACTGATTTAGGTGAAAGAAACTATCTCACCATCACACATTGAAGAAGTCTGCATATTACTATGTGCGGCCCTTGATGATGAGCACAATTACATTTTTTAGTATCATTTCTTCTTGGAACTTTTATATTTTTAGGCTTGAACTTATCTAGTGCAGTTAAATGATAATTTGGATCCTTCATATTTCACTGAATGATCACCATAGGCACATGATGTCTGTGTGGTTTTGTATCTCTGGAAAGCTTACTTTCAGAGTCCTAAAGATAATTGTTGTTTCCTATAGTCTAGCCAGTATAAGCACGCACACACACAGTGTCCGTAAAAAAATCAGTTGAAATCCACAGAGAGAATTGATGCTAAATTCTCTTGAGAAGATCCACTAATCTGTGGAATTTCATGTATGCCTGCGTTTTCCACTTTGGATGTTATATTCTCTTTTTTCTGGTGATCCTGAATTTTATAATATTCTTAACTTCCAGTTCATCATGTACCCCAAACTAATGAATGTCAAGGGAGGGGTTAGAATATTCTATTTTCAATTTTCTCTCACCTCCTTTTTCTAGCTAATCACCATTTTGGATCTTGATCTTTCTTGTCATAATTTAGCTTTCAGATTCCTGACCTACCATGAATTAAACTTGCATCTTTTCCAAAGCTAATCTTATTGAAACCCTCTAAGATCCTTTATGTTACTTATCATCTTTCTTTGTTTTATAGGAAGTGATTTTTACACACTATTTTTTTCCTCCTACACATCTATGTTAATTTTTGGTCTTCAAATTGAAGGCACCAAAGGAGAATTAATCAAGGGATAACAAGAAGTAATGCTGTACAAAAAGGAGAACAATGTTTACGGAAATCACTTCTTTTGTTAAATGCATTCATCCTGACAATGAATTTGTATTGTGCAACTTCGTGACAATATTGAGTGTTTACGGGTCTTTAGTTCTACTGCCTAGACTCGCCCCTAGCTATATACTACCTGCTATGGTCTATGGGTCAGGAGATAAGAATTTTACCCCCTAAGCCAACATGTTACTTGGCTTTAGTTTTGACTGCTTTTTCGTTCAATCCACTTAAAACCCAGCTGCCTTAACTGCTACTACTTCTTTCATTCAGAGCTACTACTGCATCTGCAGCATTAATCGATGACAAATCGAAGACAATAAAGCTCACAAAAGTAATGGAGGTAACTGTTACTCTAGTCTCTCTTCAGCAACCTAGGTCCTAAACGGTATACAGTTTATTTTTCCTCTATTTTTTTTTAATTAAGAAGAAATAAAAAAACTTACATCACTAGTTACAATGGTGTTGGTATTGCAGAATCACTGACATTTTCACTGCTGAAACTCATTCACAAAAAGTTAGAATGAAGATAAATAAGTTGTTTTAAAGTCTTGACAGAATTTAATCATCTGTTAACAGTTAACACGTCTTTACTTGTATTCTTCAAAGAAAAAAAAACATAATTATGTTCTCTTTATATAATAAATATCATCAGGATTACCATTTATATTTACCATGTCTTTCATTGTAATGATATATATGAGATCAGCAACCCAAAAACTTGTGTTTTTTACAAATCAGAACTCTGATTAATTCTCAATCTGGTTGGGAAATTGACCAAAATGATCATTTTTCAAATCTCAATTGATGAAATAATGAGCTTTTAGTATGTCATGGATACCTGATCTTTGTATCGCCAAATTTTTTCATCGCTCTCGTGGACATTTAGTTTTGATTAGTTCAACAACTGGGATTTGAAGCAAATTCCCATTCTTAATTTCTCACATGCATATCTCTTGCTAAATCTATTTCCAAGAAGACAAATAGAATCATATGATTAAATATCTGTTCTGTTGTATAACAATACAACCAGTATAGAGTTGTAACAAAAACAGACAAATATATAAATTCAATAATCAAATTTTAGGAGTACGTAGATATAGAATGAGCTAAAACATTAACATCCAAGAAAGACATATACTGACCTATCTACAAAACTTGCAAAGCTCTCTTTGCCCCATCAAAACCAGGCAGTTTCTCCATCTCCCAACTAATCAAGCATACGCCATGAGCCTAAAACAAAAAATGGCCACTGTGAAAGAGACTGTTCATATTTATAATCATCTACCTGCGCAGATTGAGCTACACTTAAAACGAAACCCAAATCTGTCTCTTACATACAAAGTCTGCGTATATATGTATAGAGAGGAGAGAGAAAAGAACCCTAATAGACGGCTTTGTAGGTGGAGGAGCCTCTCTTTTAGCGTACGTACGTTATGATTTTTCGGCCATCGATCTCTTTTTCTGCAAATTATATAGGGCATGCCCTTATCCAAAGGATTTTTATTTAAAAAAAAAGTGAATTAGTTGTGAGATCGCTCTATATTGAACTTTAATGATCCAAATTGTTATTTTTTAAGTTGCACTTTATATATGATTCTTGCAAAATATTAGTCACAACAAAAATATTTGAGGCATCTATATTAAGTTCAAAAAATTTAACGAACATTATGTTCTAAGATAAAGGGTATGTTATATATGGTTTGTTTATATCTCGGACTGGATTTGGTTTTGTCAAAACTCAATCAGTTTGCGTGATCTTATTGCAGTGTTTGGTAGACTTAGGCCCGTGTAGGCTGTACGGACCAAAAAGAAAGGGCAAAAGATCTTGGCTCACCAACGACACACAATGACAATTTTATACACAATTAATTATACTGTATTTTTTTTGTATTTGTCTTTCTTTTTGCTTTCTGCATATATATAGCTCCGTGTGTGTGTGTGTGTATTTTGAGAAGAGCACTGAGGTTGAGTTATTGTGAACAGTGAAGAGCTGGCTATATAATTGCTCTGCCAGAGTTGTACTGCACCAAAACATGGTTGTGTTTCTCTTTTACAACAACTTACAGAAGCAGAAAATGCTTTTAATTTCTTGTGCACATTTCTTAATGCAAGCAAATTAAAGTTACCTTAGATCGCGATGATTAAAGTCAATTTTGCCTTTTTACAAACGATTCATGTACAGGAACTGCAGCTTATGTCAACTGAACAATCAACAACAATGCATGCATGCACGAACACCTCGATCGATGATGGCTGGATTAATTTTCAGAGCATCATGTTCGTTGAGCTCTGACATTTTGAGCACCTCATCGAAGATATGCTGAGGCAACGTAATCACCTAAAGCAAGTTACTTTACGGAGAAGCATCACTTCTCATGTGAGAAATGAATTATCAACCACACCGCCTTAAAATGGGAACTTATGCATCATTAGGCATTTCATTACTTGAAATATGATTATTTACAACACCAGAAACACACACAGCGTACCGAAACTGAATCAAATCTCGTGCACAGAGGAGAATAACGAAGGACGGGAACATGGTAACAAGAAAAACTAAAAAGAATCTGAGAAGAGGACATTCACATTTTACACTCAGTTGCCTATATCGACGGGGAAAAACCAAAAGTAGGGATTACATATGGTGTTCGATGACTAGGAGCGTCTCACTGTGACTGACATTCCATTTTGCCTGCCTGAAGAAACCGCATTCTGAGACCATGATGATGGCTTGAATCCCCCTGTAAGTAAGTTGGATGCAGCAGCAGCACTTATCCTTCTTCTCTTAGATTGCAGTTCCAAACTCTTCTTAGAAGTCCCAGATGCGCCAGGAAAAATTGAAGCCCCATTGATTAGTGCTCGCTTATCCTTCCTATTTTTTTCTAACTTGGAAACGAACTTCACACGCGACGCAGCAGCAGCATCCTCCTCTGCCACTGGAAGCAGTCGTAAACCGAGACCCATCTTCCTTGAAGCAGCCTCTTCTTCGGCAACTCTTTTCTTTTGAGACTGAAATAAAACAATACTAAATAGTGAGGAAACCCTTTATGTAATGCCAAATTCAACACTCAAGTTCAGTTCGTTCTCACTTGAGAAGCAGAAAAAGATGTAAGAAAAGAGAATAAGTTATACACACACACACACACACTGAGAAGAGAGATTTCTAATCATATTTCATC